AGGCCTTTCTCTCCTCTGCAACCCCTACCCTCTGGGTAACAAGCCACTGCGGATTGAACCCAGAACCTTGTGAACACGAGCATGCACTCTGCCACCAAGCTATACCCATCCCCAAGGCCTTTCTTAAAAGAAAAAATGTTCTTAATATTTTAGACCGAGACAAGGAAAATACAGCCTGTGTGTAGTGTGTACACAGGAGTAAAGGCAAAAATCTGAATTTCCATGGGTAATGACAATAGATTATCCATCTAGGCAGCAAAAGAATGCAACGAGAAAAATCTTATTTGGGGCTCTGTTTCTGAAGAAAGGAGAGGCTTGTTTTCTCAAAGGGTAGGTGGGGTGGTGGGGTGGGAAGTGAATGACTCAACACTCAACCTCCAAAACCAGGAATCACTTAACACCTTAGAGCTACTACTTCTAGTCTAGGGTTATTACTAGCCCTGAAAAACAAGTACCAAAGTCATACTTAAAGAACAACTCCGCATTTTTAGTCAATTTTTCAACAAATCTTCTGAAGTATTTAAAACCTTTTCTATACACTGTCACTTTGACTACACTGATAAAATAATGTGTGTCGTCTGAAAGCATGCCAGCCTCTTAAACAATTGTATAGGGTGGAAGAGATGAGAAAAAGGATAGCCAAGCTTTTCTATAGCAACAATAAATAGCAGAGTAGTGCCCACAAATTCCTCAAGGAAAGAAAGCATGATCCTGAAATCTTATGCCTAGTTAAAACTGTCATCTGAAGTCTAATGGCATACACATTTTCATACACACAAGCACACATTTTGAACATGTAAAAATTCAGGGAACATTATATGGCTCCTAGGAGCAATTCCTCGAGAAATTACTAATGGACAAATTTCAGTCAATTAATGGATCAAACAAAGTAAGACACTGGGCAGCAAACTGAATTCATTTAATAACTTAAGCATTTTTAAAATTGGGATTATGTTACAAAATGGTGTAGATTAGAAGTTTTCATAGCCCTAACAATAAAGAAATAATGTTAGAAGTCAGAAGGAAAAGGGGGAGAGAGAAGATGCGACGTAGAATAAGTATATCGATTTTCCCTTCTTTTATATCCAAGTGATAGTATATTATTTGATTCTGAAAAATCAAGTTAATAGGTATGTATAAGTAAAGTTAAAGGTACAAATAATCAGCTACTATTGTGTGATGTAGGGATATGAGGGGTTGAAGAAGTAGTCTAATTTTGCTAATGATCATAAAAGATTCTGTGTAAAGCAATGGTCTTAAAACTAATATATTCATGCCCCTGGAGGTATACGAAGTATCATATCAGTTCTCCCTTCCAGCTTCCCTTTTTACAATTGCCCTTTACAAGAAATGCATACCTCCTACACATTCCAGATATTCCTATGGTGCACTGCCCAGTGATGATGAAACATCACAACTACAAAACAAAGAGAAATTTACAAACAGTTGACCATTTTCCTTTCTCATAAATAGTTTTGTTAAAAGCATAAAGTGACATTTTAAAAAGGAGTGTTTTGCTATATGGTAGAGTATAATAAATTCAGATATGTATAGATTGGAACTGCTGGAATTATATTTTCATGAAAATGAACTAATTCTATTTCTGACTATTAAGAAACGTATTATCCTTGAGGGAAGAGTCTCATTAAAGTAAAGCAGAAAGCATAGTGACTATGTGGTGATTCCTTACTTCAGAGACATAATAAATTAATGGCAAGTCTCTGTGTATGCCTGATTTATCTGAGAATTAGAATTCAGAGGCATGATGTTTGCCAAGGTAATGTGTATTAACACATTTATTTGAATTAAAAAGGGGAGTCATTTTCTTCTGATAAAAAATATATACTGACAAGATGTACTGAAATCCAAAATATATCTATTGTCTCAACCCTTTCTAAGTATACTAGATTGAACAAAGTACCTAAAGGAGTAAGTAACCAGCATAACCACAGTCATTTAATATGTCTTGAGTGGACTTTTTGGTATACACTTCTAAGAAAGTCAGAAGCAAATACATAACTTGGTAAGAAATGGGTAAGAAATCCTTGTGCATATCAGGAAGCTTCCAATTATTTGCTTTTGACAAAAGTGGAGACTCTAATAGTTACTAGCTTCCAGATCATTAAAAATGATTAACAACAATGACTGAATTAATAAATGGGGGAGAACAGATTAATCTCCTGTGCAGAAGAATTTGAAATAATTTATACAGTCTCCTCAGCCTCAAGGAGGTATAATTCCCCACTCCTTAGTGTGGGCTACACATACGACTTCCTTCCTTCTAAAGGATACAGAATGGAAAGGGGGCAAAGAGGAACTTTCCAGTGGAGAAACCCTAAAAACAAGAGTTTCACAGCCCACTGATGAATGTTAACATCAAGAGTGGTAAGTTGTGTTGACAGTATGTCCTTGGATATAAACATGATAAAAACATACTTAACCTTCTCCATAGTCTTCCTCACCAATACTCAATATCCCAGTGTATAATCAGAATCAAAATTTTTTTAAATCCCACTTGGGAGACATTCTACAAATACTGGATCAACATCATCAAAAAATATGGAAAGTCCAAGAAACTAACAGTTGCCTAAGACGAAATGTCTATTAAACATAATGTGAACCTACCATGCATGGGGATCCTGGGTGGAGCAGAAAAATAACATTAGGTAAAAACTAAGGAAATATGAAAGAGTATGGACTTTAGTTAATAATAATGTATTAGTACTGGCTTACTAATTGTAATAAGTGAACCATACTAACGTTAGATGTTAGTAATAAAGAAAACTGGCAAATGTTGGGTCTTTGGGAACTATCTGTACCTTCACAATTTTTCTGAAACTCAAACTGTTCTAAAATTTTTTAAGTTATTTTTTAAAAAAACACAATGAGGACAAATTACAATGAGATAACCATGTCCACCCAATGGGATGGCTATAATAAAAGGACAATAACAAAGGTGTAGAGAAACTGAATTCTCACATGCTGCTGGTGGAAATGTACTATTTAGTGCAGCCACTAAATTGGAAAACAGTCTGGCAGGTCCTCAAAAAGGTAAACACTGAGTTACCATATGAACCATTCAACTCCACTCCCAGGTATATATCCAAGAAAATGAAAAAATATGTACATAAAAAAACTTGTACACAATGTTTAGCATTGTTGATAATAGCAAAAAGTAGAAACAACCCAAATTCCATCAACAGATGAACAAGGTGTAGTATATAAGCATTCAAATATTATTCAGCCATAAAAAGGAATGAAGTACTCATACATGCTACAAGGATAAACCTTGAAAACTTGCAAAATTAAAGAAGCCAGTCACAAAACAGTAACATATGGTTATGATACCATTCATATGAAATGTTCAGAAGAGGTAAATCCAAATAGACAGAAAGTAAACTGGGTTTCTTAGGGATATGGGTGGAGGGGTGGGTATAGAGTTGAGGGGTAATGGAGTACAAATGCTTATAGGTATGAGTTTCTTTAGGGGTGATCAAAATCTTCTCAAATTGATTGTGGTGATGGTTGTACAACTCCAAGAATATTAAAAAAATAAAATATTAAAAATATTTTTTTAAAAAGTGAACCATATATTTAAAATGGGAGAATTGTGTATCTCCATAAAACATAAAAAAAAAAAAACCGACTCACAACAGATTACTACATGATTTGGAGGGGGCTAGGATGGTAGATCGATTGATTTATTTTAATGGGAGGCACTGGGGACTGAACCCAGGACTTCATGCACGCTAAGCACGCACTCTACCACTGAGCTACTGAGCTATACCCTCCTCACTACTACATGATTTTTGCCAAATAATTCCAAAGGAATTAAAAGGTTTTAGTTCCACTGCCCTAAAATTTTTATTCCACTATCATCACATGTAAATAAGGTTTCTTAATCACTGCACCTACTATCTATCTATCCTTATGGGTCTATACACACACACACACACATACACATGCACATGTATATAGATATATACAAAGTATATATAATGTATATTATTCATACATATATGTATGTATATAAAAGTAAAGCTGTATTCTGCCTCATTCTAGCAATATAATTATTCATGGATACAGAAATTAACTGAAAACAAATTATCAGACTAAAAATGCATTTCAAATAATTATTAACTGTAAAAAATAAAAGCATATCCAAAGTGTAATATACTTGTTTTTAATCAACAATACATTAATAAAATAATTGAATATAGAAGTAAGTTCAACTAGAGCCTTATTGTCAATACAGATTTTTGTTGCATAAAAATATAAATAAGGCTATCAAACAAACATTTCAAGTATTAGAATAAAACTCAGTAGGGAGAGCACAATGGAAATGTGAATGCAAGGAGAAAAAAATGTATTCTTTATTTAGTTTTGTGATGTAAAAAACTGCACTTAAAAACATGCAACAGTCTACATAGTTTTAAAAATTCTTGTAAAGGTTATGTGACCAACTCCCACACATATAGAACATTACTAAAGAAAATGATTAAATATCCATCCATCTAGGCAGAGAGTTCAACAGATCAATCTAGTTGGATAATCAAAGGAAATTACAAGAAATATATGTCTTCCAAATCATAAGAAAAAAATCAGATAATAAAAGTTCTTTTAAAAGTATTACTTAAGGTCAAATTTTAGTTTTTAAAGATGAAGACTTAAGAATCCTAGCATAAGGAGGCAACCAATCCTAACATGGAAGTCATGAAATCCAAAGCAGCAGGGTGGAACTTACGTAAAACATAAGAGGAAGAATTCAGCCTAGAAAAGTCCTTCCAAGGTGAACACAGAGAAATGATTAACAATATGCATCATTACCCGTAAACACAGCTCTTCAAAATGATGTACACATGCTACTTAAAGATCTAGAAGAGGACAAAACAACCAACTATAGAAAGGATTCTTCTATACTTGTCAAAAGACAATATCTAATATCCAATCTTAAGAGCCACCTAAAAACCAGATTATTCCTTATGTAATTAATTCCTTACCTGACATTTTGAGTAGGATTCCACCTTTCAGAGGGTAACTCTCCACTCTGTGGGTCATCTACAGGCGGATGAAGAATTGATATGCATACATCTCCATTCTACAAGACACAAATATCACATTCAGTAAACACTCAAAAATGTAATATTAAAAAATGTCAGTTGTGAAGTTTTTTTTTTATTTTTAGAAAACTTATTTTCTTATCATTAGGGGAGTAAAGAATTCTGCTTTTTCTTCATGTTTGGAATCAATAATAATGAAGAATTAAGACATTTTTAACATTACAAATACTCATTCTGACCAATCTCCAAGACACAATTCTTAGTTTAAAAAACCACTGTGTAGTACCACCTTAAAAAAAAGTCATTTAAAAATTGAAAAAAGACAAATTTGATAAATAATGTTTTAACAGTCCCAAGAAGCAACTAAATATTTCTCTTTATTTTCACACATCTGTACCTAAGGTACATTAAGAGAAACAAAAAAAATCTGACCTTGTTTAAAATCTGTCTAGAGAGATGCTATAATCACCTTTAAAATCAATCACTGGTTTCAATAACTAGTTTATATAAACTAAAACACATAAACAACTTAATGAGAACTTCCTCAGACAGAACAATTTACCACTAAAATTAAAATATTTTGGTTCATAAATTTAAATTATAGGACTTAATCCACAAGTACATTAAGTTTTAAGTCAAACACATAAGGATCATCTACCATATGCAATACAGATTGTTAACAGAATAAACAACATTAATTAAGATATAGTCACCTATCTTTTGGTCTAAAAGGAAATAAAAGATTCAAATTCTTTAAAACTTAGAACTATATAAAGCATAAAAATTTACATATAAATACAAATTCAGATATATCCACACACACTCAAGATAACAGAACATTTTTAAAAGGAGAATAAAATTTTTAATAAAATCAATACCAAATACTATATTCTAAAACTGTATCATTGTTAAATGCCACGAAGAAGTTAAAAAAAGCACGACAGAAACAAGGAGAGAAGCTATGTATATTTAGAGAAGACACCTGGGAGGTGACTGATGTAGGGGAAAACAAAAACAAAAACAAAAACAAGGCTTAATGACTGAGGAAGCTCTGAGATGGGCTTTCAATAATACGTACAGTTTTAATAACGTAAGGGAAATTTAGACAAGAGTTTGCCTGAAGGAATAAATCAACATCATAAATAGTAGATAAAACATGTTTAGGTAGTTATATTTATTTT